GATCGTCGCAGAAGTTTGATCAAACCCAAACTTCTACGACACTACGATTGCTACGATCAACCAATCAGTGACGAGCTAGAGTCATATTACTTAAAAATATATACAGGGTGTCCCAGATCACCTTCACAATCTCTTGTGAGGATGTAAAGGGGATTGAAATGAACACAAAAGTCCAATACCGTTTTGCGATATTCGCAATAAATCTCAAGATATTAATTAAAAAATATTGGTGAATGCGATGCGATATATGAGCTGCAATTGCGTCGTTGTATATTTGTACATTAAGTCAAACTGAACAAAAGAGTCCTCTACTATTTTGCAAATAACAACATAGATTTTTAGATATTAATTAAAGAAAATGTGTACATTATGGTACATAATCATGTAATAATTTTCTTTGATTAATATCTAAAAATCTATGTTGTCATTTGCAAAATGGTAGAGGACTTTTTTGTTCAGTTTGACTTAAGGTACAAGTATACAACGGTACACTGAGAGAAAAATGTATGATATTTGAAACTATAATGGCATAGTAAAAAGATTATAGTTAGGAATATCTTTTTTATAGTAAATATCACCATAATGTTTGTAATATTTACAATATAAGCATAGTATAACTGACTCATGTAAAACTTTTACCAAGAATTATAATTATTTGAAATAAAAAACATAGTAAGATAGCAAATATTAAATGGTAAGAGAAATTAACTATTTTATATAGTCAATACAATTGGAATATTTGGAAAATATGGGTACATATAACTATACTACTGTGTCCAAAAAGTAATCCAATTTTCAAGTTAAATTGCGCAGGTATATCGAATGTCAGAAATACTTTTTTTCTAAATTGGTAGCACTGTGACAGACATCTGTGTCAAATTATGCGTCGTTTGCGTGAAACTATTCGCAAAAAGAGGCCGGATTGTGGAAAGACAACTCTTGGTTTTTGCACCACGATAATGCGCCACCTCACACTGCATTGGTTCTTCGAGACCATTTCGCTAAAAATTCGACCCATATCGTTCCACAACCACCATATTCACCTGATTTAGCACCGTGTGACTTCTGGCTATTCCCTAAACTCAAAAGACCGCTCCGGGAACACCGTTTTGACTCGATTGAAGAGATACAAGCTGAATCGAAGAAAGCTTTGAAGGCCATTCCGGAAATCGACTTTAACAACTGTTTCGAGGGTTGGAAAAAACGTTGGCACAAGTACATTGTGTCTGAGGGGGATTACTTTGAAGGCGACGAAATAGATTTGGAATAATAAATAAAGATTTAAAAAAAAATTTTAAATTGGTCTTACTTTTTGAACACAGTAGTATTCTCAAAGTGTGCCTTACTATACACATAGAGTAATAAAATGGTGACTATAAATGTGTGTTTATTCTGCTATATCTTCGGTTTTGGATGAACTATAAATATATGTTTGAGGCCAAAACGAACTATAAAATATAGTGATATTATACTTATTCCAACTATTTTTTTCTCTCATTGTAGACGGCGCAATTACAGCTCATCTCGCGCGTTATAATTCACCAATCTTTTTTAATTAATATCTCGACTATTATTGCGAATATCGCAAAATGGTATACGACTTTTGTGTTCATCTCAATCCGCTTTCCGTCACGAGAGATTGTGAAGGTGATCTGGGACACCCTGTATAGCGTAAAAGGTAATTATACTCATCATTAAAAGCATATACTTTTGTACTACTCTTTCTTCCATTTTCAAACAAACAGCACTATGGGTCTGAGCACAAAGATTGTCGCAATCGTTTACGACAGTGTCGTTGACGTAAGTCGGTGTCAGAAGTCAACGGATTAGACGCACAAGGATTAGACGTATGCTATATCAAATATGATTAGACGACGCAATTGATGCAGCATATATCTACGTCAATCCTTCTGTGTTAACTTCCGACTTACGTCTACGACACTGTCAGAAACGATTGCGACAATCTTTGTGCTCAAGCCTTATATATACTGTTTCAGTCCGCTACTGTCAATTATTTCTAATTGGTCGACACCAGCCACATGTACGACGCTATGTAGACAATCAGCATAATGAGCTTTCTCCAATAAGCCGTTAAGGTCCTCACACATGAAATGACATAATTGCATGTGCATAGCATAAGACTGTACTTAGCCGCCATATTGATGCTTGATGCTCAATACTCGATGCTCATTGGTCCATACAGTCTTATGCTATGCACATGCAGTTATGTCATTTCATGTGTGAGCGCCTTTAGTCGTAACACATAAGGCATGAGAAAATTCACCAATTGCAGTCCTTCAGAATAGAAATGAAGAATTCTGATTCTCTTCACTGAGAGAAAAAAATAGTTGGAATAACTATAATCTCACTATATTCTATAGTTCGTTTTGGCCTCAAACATATTTTTATAGTTCATCTAAACATGAAGATATAGTAGAATGAACACATTTATAGTCATCATCTTATTACTTTATATATATGGTAAAGCACCTTTTGAGAATATGAGTTACGTGTACCTATATTTGCAAAATATTTCAATTGTATTGATTATATAAAATAGTTAATTTCTCTTACCATTCAATATTTACTATCTTACTATATTTTTTATTTCAAATAATTATAATTCTTGGTAAAAATTTTACACGGGTCAGTTATACTATGCTTATATTGTAAATATTACAAATATTATGGTAACATTTACTATAAAAATTATATTCCTAACTATAATCTTTTTACTATGCCATTATAGTTCCAAATATCATATATTTTTCTCTCAGTGTTATGCCTTATGTGTTTTGCGTTACGACTGTGTAAAGCTTGATCTATAATGTGTTATTTGCTTCCTGTTACTTTTTCTTTATCTCTTTCTGACTCAAGCCTTAAACCTTAAACTAAAAAAAGACAGAAAACAAGAAACAGGAAGCAAAGAACACATTGTAGATCAGGCTTAACGGCTTATTGTAGAAAGCTCATTACGATGCTACGATTTTGCGATGTCACGACATTACGATACGACCAACGTAGATCGGCCTTTACGATTGGCGTATCGTCGTTTATTTTGAAACCTAAGCCCGCCGTTCGTCCTGAATCGCGGCGGATTTATTATGCGCGTCGACTCCCCGAATTTTCACGTAATTGTGGGGCGTTCAATTCCAATCACAACTTCGTCTCGCGACGAACACCATCTCTGAATAATTGTCAGACTAAAAGCTAACCGCTGCGTGCGTCATAATATATTCACCTTCCGCCTGGGACGGCCAAAGGTTTCACGATTCACAATTCACGACAGTGTATGTGTGCGTATGTGTAGGTATGTGGTCAACGCGTCTTGCTACCGAATGCGATCGATGAAATAATAATTAATTAGCAAATCCGCGGTCTGGGATTCGGGTTAACAGGAATTAGTCGGCTACGACCGATTCGATTACAAACCGTCCGCAAATTGGAAGAATTGGATTTCGTTAGGATAGCGTGTAAAATTAGAGAGTCGCGGGAAAAACACACGTTGCGTCGCGTCACCTCGACGTGCCGCGTTTAACCAAGTCTCTTGTTTCGTTAAATCTGTGTTGGTAGCCCGCCGTACGTACAATGAAAGGAAGAATAATTTAGAGACCGTCCGACTCTCTTGGCCGTTGAAACAAAGGAACAATCGATGCTTGTCTATACCTTCCTCCATAAGCTACTAATTCCTCCAATTTAATAAAATCGCGTTTCATCAAGCAACAAGAATTGACGCATTGAATAGGTCGCACTGAATAACGCAAATCCTCTCGTATCGTTTTCTCTTCAAAATTTTTAATTTAATGTAATTATTGATTAAATTGAAGTTATACGAGGTGGCACGGGTTAAATGTTTCTAAAGCAATGGAATAGATGTAAGCTTTTTCTTATCACTTTCAGCTGCATTCTTAACCGTAGCGCTAATGAATTTTGAAAAACTTCTCCTTAGGATTACGAGGTCGTTACAAAGACAAAAGGGCTCTCCATCGCAACTTTGTTCCAAGCAAAGAACGATCAGTCAAGATTAACATCGTTAAGTTGGAAGCCGAGGAAGTTGGAGCCTCGCGGAGCACGAGGTGGGATGGGCGAGTTTTATCCGCGTGCAAAATCTTTCGAGAGTGTCTAAAGTTCCGGAAACTGAGACCACGCCGCCTACATCGACGCGCGACTATGGCCGATAAAAAGCGGCTTGCTCGCGAAGACTCTCGGCGGCAACTACACCGGCGAGCCGTAATTGCCCTGCGATTTATCGCTGCTACTTCCGCGAACGGTAAAGCGGGCGAGACGCTGAGCTCGATTTCGAGGTCCACCTGACGGGCGTACCTCGACAAAACACGCGCGAACAACCGACGCGCAAAACTGGACATGGAGAGGACAACGTCGTATTGTATACATATTGCGAAAGTAGATTGACAATACACCATATGAAAAGAACAACAGACAACAACGAGGCAACGACAATAATGAGAAAAAAAAAAGAAAGAGAGAGAGACAGAGAGACAGACACAACTTACGTCGACCGGCCGATAAAAACTCTTAATTACAGCGAGGCGGGAAACCGCGGGAACATTCGACGTCGTGCGACTTTACCAGGTAGCCCGAGCTCTATCACACTCGACACCCACGCCGGCAGAAGCAAGAGCCAAGGCCGAAGGTGCTCTGTCTCTCCCGTGCGAGGTGTGGAGGAATCACGGGAGCATCGAGAGACGCAGGAGGAGAGAAGACTCCGCGAGGTCCCGCGGAACGAGCGCGAGTTCGGAAACTGCCGACTTCGACAGTTCGGGGAAACTGTCGGCGCTGTGTGACGGGGGTTTCCTACCCCCCCTATAGCGCGCCGGGCACCTGACGGCGGGCTCTCCGGGGGAGTCCTGCCGTCTCACCCGCGCCGCCGCCGCCGCCGCCGCCGCCGCCGCCGCCACCGCCGCCGCCACCGTCGCGCATCCACGCAAGCACGAGCGACGAGAGTCGCTCTCTGCACTCACGCTCGCCGGCACCAGGAATCGCTCGCGTTCCCATGACGACACGTGTGCGTTTCTGCCCCTCTCGCCCCGGACGCGCTCGCGAGCCGTGGTGGGCGCACGCGCCACTAAGCACCTTGTGGCAACAGGTTTTAGAGCGGCCGCCGCCGCCGAAATCAGCTTGCCCGGAATCGAGCATTCGGTCGAATTTGACTCGGATCAATATTGATCGAAGCCGCGGAAGAGCGGAGGCTGGGAATTCGACAAGGGGAATCGCGCCCCGAGAGAGAGAGAGAGAGAAAGAGAGAGAGAGACTGTGGAGCAGCAGTAACACGAGAAGGATGGGCTGCTTGCGGTTAGGCGACAGAGTCTGGATTATCGAGGCCTCGTAATGTGGATTCCGCAGGAATAATGTGCACCTGGAGGGAAAGAGCTGCCGGGGATTACGGTAAGATATATCGAGATGGTTTTGCAAGGCGCAGGAAGACGCTGGTTTTTCGTTTTAAGAGGACTTTTTTTTAGGTCGACGACATGGGAGGAGAGTGGCTGTTACGGGGAGAATAACGCGGCGAAAGTATACGGTTCCGTCCGCTCAAGAGCATCAGCGAATGGCGTTCGATATCCGTGATGTCTTGGCGCTGTTATGATAACAAAGTGCTATCGTTATTAAAAAAAAACATGATGCATTGTAAACTTTTTTCATATGTTGCGCAGTTAGATTTGTCGCAAAAGGTGTATTGCCCATTGTATTGCCCCTAAAAATACCGTTTTTGCCATATATTGCCCTTAAAAATATCGTTTATGCAATAATTACCGAGATATTAATTAAAGATTTATAAATAATTACACGAGATATAGTAAATGAGCTATAATGGCGACGTCTGTTACCATGTGCTTGTACATTAGGTCAAACTGAATAAAAGTCCTCTATTTTCTTAATAACTTTGTAGATTTTAATTATTAACTAAAGAAAATTAGCTGATGGTCTATAATATATTAATTTTCTTTAATTAATAACTAAATAACTAAAATTAAATTAAGTTAAAAAAATATATTTTCTGTATATAACCATATGATATATATATATATATATATATATATATATATATATATATATATGTATTATGACAAACATACCTTTTTCTAAAAAAAAGGCAAAAAAGTGCCAAATGCACGTGTTTCCCGTATATATAAATTATATAAAAATAATAATTGAATAATAATATAATAAAATAATAATAAAAATAAAATGATATATAATTAAAATAATAACCTAATCTAACTTAATCTAACTTAAACCCAAATACACATAAACAGACTCAACATATATATAATACATAACACAACAGACAATCGAAATACATATTTACATATATATAGTATATATAATTTATATATTTTTTATACAGACAATATAAATATACTAGCAAAATATACTATTTCTGATTTTCAATTGACCTTTTTTGACTCATTGATAAGGACTATACAATACATTCTTAAACCTGATCATGTGCCGATAGCAAATAGTGTCAACAGTGTTCCCTCAAAATCATTCTTGCATTATGTCCTATCTAAAGGAGGGATTTATTCCTGTGCGCGTTTTGAATAGATAAATAAATAAATATCAGGATGCGGAATCTCTCGAAGTCGCGCATCGTCCGTGACAGTCGAGCAGCTCAGGACTCACCGACAAATACCCTTTGATACGCACATTGATCCTATTTTATCGCGCCTGAGAAATTACTGTCCGCGAGAAAAATGATGTTCGCACCCGAAGGAAGGGTCCGTAAAACCGATTATCTGTAATATATCTTCTCAAGCCGTCTGCTCAAGCTGGGCGAAGCGAAAAGTCACCGGGAGCGGTTCACGAAAACTTCCGAATTTCGCGTGGCTGATCGATGCGAGAACACCGAAGGCGTTTCGGGCCCGGCCATTAAAGACCAAGTTGTAAGAACAACGGCAAAAATATCCGAACGTTTGTCAGCGGGCCACCCTAAAGCCTTCGTTTCGATGATACTCGATAAGCGGTAACGAGGTCAAAGAGCGTTTCGAAATCAGTCCTCCAAGGAGAGCGAACGGAAGCAATTGAAAGCTAGCAAAGACGTGTGGTGGAAACTTTTATAAGGTTATCCGCGCAAATTAATGCCGAAAAATCGATACGATTTCGATCTCATTGCGAGACTTGCGCGTGCTCCACACAATTAGATATTGTGTACGCGCGTCTCTCCGTTGATCTTCGCGGCATCCACGTCTGAAATTTAAGGGACATGTTTAATTCTATGAGCTATCTATTTTATTTTTTGATGAAATTTTTTTCAAATTTGGCGTATGGGAAATTCCGGAATCGCTGATCACGAATTTCAGATCAAAAAATTAAAACTCGAAATGATCGGCGCAATATTGCAACCATAAGTTTACAAAATTAGCAACCTCGCTTTTAATATTATCCCGAAATAATAGCAACATTTCCTCGATATGAAAAAGATATTTGCGTTCTTTATAAGAAACTAATAGGCAAACATGTTATTAATATTTCAATAATTTATTAAAAAGTAGATTTTATATTGGGAGTACAAATTAGTTCGGTCCGTTTTCAAAAGATGACTTTGGCTGTTATGAATGTTTCATAGTGACAGCTGATTTCGGTGGTTTCAGAGAGGTTAGACATCTGTCAATAATATTCAGTTTATATCGCTTTGAGTTTCATACAAAACCCCTGTTTTTTACTGTGTTAAATATGTCAAATTTTGTGTTAACTAAGCAGCATTTGCGGGAGGTTTTAGTTTTCTGCTTTAATTGGAAGAAAAGTGCAGCTGAAGCGCATCGAATGCTTGTAGAAGTTTATGGTGACGATGCTCCAACTGATAAATCATGTAGGAAATGGTTTCGACGTTTCAAGAATGGTGATTTCAGCGTTGAAGACAAGCCTCGCTCTGGACAGCCAATAAAATTCGAAGACAAAAAATTGGAGGCATTACTCGATGAAGATCCGAGTCAAGAATCGGTATAGGCTACAATTGATTTGTTTGAGCCGTGCATTACGAGAAAAACGGCCAGAAATACGAGCAAAGACATGACAAAGTTATTCTTCTGCATGATAACGCTCGGCCTCATGTCGCAAAAGTCGTAAAAAATTATTTGGAAATGCTCAAGTGGGATATTTTACCGCACCCGCCGTATTCGCCAGACATTGCTCCTTCTGATTACTGGTTGTTCCGACGGATGCAGCACGATTTGGCAGGTCACCGGTTCACTTCTTTCGCAGAAATCGAAAATTGGCTCCTAACTTGGATCGCCTCAAAAGACGAGACATTTTTTCGAGATGGAATTCGAAAATTGCCTGAGAGGTGGGAAAAAGTAGTAGCCAGCGATGGACAATACTTTGATTAATCTGTTCATTCATTTTGTTCTGAAATAAATGCATTTTTGACCACAAAAAAACGGACCGAACTAATTTGTACTCTTAATATATAGAAAATTTTGAAAAAAATGTGTGAAAAATATTGTTAGTTATTCTGAGTAAATTGTTAATATTTCGATATGTTAATTTCTAATAGTTTGTTTGAAAATAATATTTGTCTGAAAAAAGTACCTTTTTTATTTTTATTTGCTTATAATAATTTAACAATCAAACATTCAAGTTATTTTAGTTCCTTATATTTGAGAGAGAGGGAGGGAGGGAGGAAGAGGGGGAAGAGGAGAAAGAGAGAGAGAGAGAGAGAGAGACAACATAATCGACTGTGTTTGCTGGTAAGTTAATTAAAATTGCTAAAAATGATGAAAAAAGACAGCATCCTTATGATTCAAAGGGTTAAAAGAATGTTGATTATTGACACAGTTTCACGTAGTTTATACTATTATTGACACAGTTTCACGTAGTTTATACTATTTTCCTACATATTTGATTGCGTAGAATTGCAAATGCTTACAAGATAAAAATACAAATGTCAATGCATCAAAATCTACCCGATGTTATATCATAAATAAAAAACCTTTTTATTTACTAAACTTTTTTTGTGTTTAATACAACATGGAGTATGTTTTACATGACGTATTGACATTTGTACTTTCGCTCTGTGAAAGCATTTGCAATTCTATGCAACCAAATGGAAAAATAGTGTAAAATACGAAAATGTCGATATCTAGCATCGCCTTCATCCTGGCGGCAACACCAAGCACTTACCTAGCGTGTACTTATTTACTCTCAAGAACTACCTCAAAATTATGCATGGTAATCAGATAAAAGGAAACAAAAAAAAAGAATACAGTGATTAAGACTAACGACAAGAAATTTGATAAATTCTAAATTAACTTTTGATAATATACGTTCACTACATAAAGTTGGCGTGTCACCGTCAACGTTAACGGGTACAACTTTCCGACGATACCTCAAGCAAATTGCCAAAGGCGGCAAACTGTCAAAGGCTGGTTTCCTCTTGGAGAAGTCTCTTACTTCTAGAGAACTACACGAGCCGATTGGTAGACATAATCAACTCGGAATTTTAGTTTTAAATTAATCCTGCAAATTGCGTCAAATTTGAAGAATCATCCCGAGGTATATACGAGGGTGGTCTGAAAAGTTTCCGACCTCAACGTGAAGATAGCAGCACTTGTAAATAAAAGCTAGTGAATTTCGTTGTTCATCTGTTGACAGTTACTCACCGAAGTTTCAGCCATTTTGGACTCGCAGTTGTTATGTAACAGTCGTTTGAGTAAGTTGATGTGAGTGTTTTTGTGAAAATGGACAAAATCGAGTATCGAGCTGTCATTAAATATTTGTTTTTGAAAGGCAATACGCCTACGCAAATCAAAGATGAGTTGGATTCTGTGTATGGGGACTCTGCACCATCATTTAC